AGGGGGGGTTTAACCTGATCTCTTGGTAGCCACAGCCCTGTAGTTAGACTCCTTAAGCTGGAGCCAAGGGGGCTCCGCTGAGTTGCCCACAGGAAACGCTGGCTTCCTGTGTCCAGCAGGGTGGAGAACGGACCTTGACTTTAGAACCAGGCAAAGCCAGGTCTCAGCCCCTGGCTCGCTGACGATCACCTCAGGCACGTGTGTCTGTGTGACCCTCAGTTCCCTCCACTGGACAATATCATCAGCAAGTCCCCCCCCCTGCCCCCGGCCCCTTACTATTGTGAGGGTCACAAGGGAAGGGCCTGTAGAGTGTTCAGCAAAGTGTGGATTGCTGTATTTTGGGAGGGGGTGAGCCCAGTGCCCTAGGAGGGGCAGGATTTGGCCTGTGGGTTATGGAGTGAGGTCCGGGGGTTGTGAGAGCTGGGTCAGGAACAGGGGAGATACACTTCACAATGCACAAGGGGAGCGCTCATTAGTACACACACCTACACCCACCTGGGCAAGTCCACCCCACCCCACCCCACAGGGGCTCACAAACATGGAGGGGTAACTGCCCTACCCCCACCCCAGGGCTGTGTAGACAGGGCTCCAGAGTGTCACAAAGGTCTTTCTTCTGCTGGTGCTGCCCATAGTTCCAGCGAACACCGTGGGGAGCCTCACGCAGGGCTAGAGGACATCTTTCATTCTGATACTTAGTACTGAGTGTCTGCTGGGGAAGGGGTCAGAGGAGGCCATCTGCGGTGCCCCTGGAGGGCTGGGGGCATCCCAGAGGCAGGGGCTTGGAAATGAGAGGAGGTAACCAGAGCAGAAAGGTGGATGGAGCCAGTACTACAGGTGTTGGTTAGGATGTGACATTTCACACTGGGGCAGCCACTGAAGACCTAGGGACATAGTAGCAATTAGCAGGGAGGAGTTCCAGTATGGGAGCTGACTCAATGGGATGCAGGCCTGGCTCAAAATGAAAATGCAGGGGCTCTTGTTAAAAAATGATCTAGAATTTCAAAATGGTGACAGCGCCCTTTAAGCCAGGCATGTGGCCCTTCTAATTGTGGGGTCCCATGGGATCTGTGGATATGACCCTGCTTCCACAGGAATGTGAAGTGTCCCTTGGAAGAGCTTCCGCCACCTTCCAGGCAGAACTGAAGTCCTCGTAAGAATGAGATTTCTTCATTTTTAACAGAATTGCTCAGAAAAAAACCCATAATGAATGGAAAGCAGAGAACAGGGTAAAATGAGTGGGAAATGGACCAGAAGGAATGAAGAAGCCAGTAGAAGGCCACATAGGTAGTCACAGGAGTGCCCACCTGTGGCCCCGGACAACACAGACAGGCTTAGGACACAAATTGTATCAGGACAGCTGGGAGCAAGAAGTTGCTCAGATGCTCTCAGAGGCTCATTTAGGAAGCTTGCTGGTGGGAAAGGTGTGACACTGGGAAGCAAAGGGGCCGAGGAGGGTGGAGAATGTCTGGGTTTGACATAAGGGGAGACAGCTCTGTCTGAACTGAGGAAAACTCTGGGGGGGCTTGGAGGCGGAGGAATGGCTAGGATGACTTCATGCTTGTCCCCAAGCATGAAAAAGGACAGGAAACCCCAATGCTCATGCACACACCATGGTGCAAAAGGGAGCCCCCACCTGAGTTCACACAAATGTGCCATCCAGACACTGTCATCTGAAGACAACCCCAGCCCCCAAATGACCCCTTGTCCCCAAATCCCCTTTCCTCCTCCGCCGCTTAGGTTCAGATATGGACAACCCAGCTGAGGACCAGGGTTCTGGGTTCTTATGTCATTTAATCTCCACATCCACCGATACAGTCAGTGTCGCGATTCTTGCCTCAAAGCAGGGCAAGTGATGCAGAGAAATTAAAGCCCTAAAGTCACATTGATGAGCAGAATCAGCTCTGAGGTTCGGATCCTGTAACTCGGATTCCAATCCATGTGCTCCATGTAAATAACTACTAAATCATATGGTGAGAAGTAGACAAGTAGCTTTTATTGATGGAGAGAAATCAAATAACATACTCCGAATATTAGGCAGTGCCATTTATAATGCCACCATAGGAGGATGGAGGGACAGCAGACAGTGACCCCAAACAAACAGGACCTACTACATAATCCTGCTTTATGATGACCTTCTTTCTTGGCACACACACACACACACACACACACACACACAGCCCCGACCAAACCCAGTCTGCTCTCAGACCAGCCCTGGTGCCCAACCCCTCTTCCCTTCCAGACGACGTGACCAAGGTGAAACCCCCCACGGTCACCGTGTTTGAACCGTCGGAAGCAGAGATCAGCCGGACCCAGAAGGCCACGCTCGTGTGCCTGGCCACGGGCTTCTACCCCGACCACGTGGAGCTGAGCTGGTGGGTGAACGGGAAGCAGGCCAAGAGCGGGGTCGGCACAGACCCTCAGCCCTACAAGGAGCAGCCCGACCGCAGCGACTCCACCTACTGTCTGAGCAGCAGGCTGAGGGTCTCTGCCTCCTTCTGGCACAATCCTCGCAACCACTTCCGCTGCCAAGTCCAGTTCTACGGGCTGGACAGCGACTACAAGGACTCTTGGAAGGAGAACCGCACCATGCCCGTCACCCAGAATGTCAGTGCTGAGACCCGGGGCAGAGCAGGTGAGTGGGGCCTGGGAGGCTCAGGCAAGGAGCGAGTCAGGCCAGAGAGAAAGGGGGATCCAGGTAGGAGGCCACAGAGACCAGATTCAGGGGAAAAAAGGAGTGGGGTAGGAAGAAGAAAGCCCACCATGAGGACAGGGCACCTCGGACTGGTTCCTCCCCAGACAGCACAGCCTCGAAGCTGGGCCCCTTACTACTGGCCCAGGTGGCTCAGCATCTGCATGTTGTGTCCCCTTGAGAGCTGCCCCGTGTAGCCCAGGAGTTTCAAGGACACTGTGGCCACATTGGCTCACAGGCAGACAGTGCTAGACTCCTCTGGTCTGGGCCTGCAACCTCTGTTGACTACAAGGCTGATTTAGTGTCTCATCTGCTCATCCATTTCCCTCTCTTCTCTCTTTCAGAGTGTGGCTTCACCTCGGGTAAGTGGCCCTCTGCCTCTTTGTCTCCATCTCCCATGGTCTTTGGAACTGGAGAATGGAGAATCCATGGACCCTGGGGTGGTGGGGGGCAGACATATCTGCTCAAAGGCACCTACCTGCTTTCCTTTCCTGCCAACAGAGTCCTATCAGCAAGGGGTCCTGTCTGCCACCCTCCTCTATGAGATCCTGCTGGGGAAGGCCACGGTGTATGCGGTGCTGGTCAGCGCCCTGGTGCTGATGGCCATGGTAAGGAGGGGTGCAGGGTGGGCAGGCAGGTTGGAGGGAGAGGGTGAAACATCATCTGTGGGATAAGAGGGGATCCCAGAGCCTAATCTCAGCCCTGATACAGCCTTCCCTTTCCAGGGGATTGTGACAGGACTGCCAGTCTGGGGAGAAAGTGTAGGGACCATTGCACAGTGCAGCTTCGGAGGATAGCCTTACCCCAAATCAGGGCCAGAGCCAACCCCCTCTGACCCGTTCCTACTGTTCACGGGCCCTGGGACCCTGACAGTGTCCTTTTCTCTGCAGCTCAAGAAAAAGGATTCCTGAGACCAGATCCAAAGGCACATCGTCAGTCGTTCTTACCCTTCACCCTAGATCCGCCTTTACCTGCTTCCAGTCTGTGTTCCCAAAGAGGTATTCTCTCCCCACCTCTTACCTCCTTCCTACACAGGTGTCTGTCCCTCCTGCTGCTGCCCTGAAGACTCAACTCCTCAACCCTGAGTCTGAAATAGACTAAACCAATAAAGATGTCATGCTGGACTTGGTTGTGTTTCGAGAGTGTCTGTGGAGTTCTGTCCTTCGAAGCCCCCCCTTCGGATTTGGGAAAAGCACCGCCTCTCAGGCGTAGGGAGTGACTGACTCCTCTCTGACCAATGCTCTTCCTCCTGTTCCTCCTGGTGGAGGGTAGACCCTGTGGTTCCCACCCAGGCATTCTGGGCCCCTAGTACGTAGGATTCGTCAAAGGGCAAGGTGCTGGGCTCTTAAAAAAGAATGCGCACAGGTGAACCATAACCCCCACCTCAGTACAAGACAGAGGACAGGGCATACCTGTGGGTTAGAAGCCTGGTCATTTCTCAGTTCCGGGCTCAAGTTTCATTTATTACACATTTAGATTTTATCTGTGTCTGTTAAACACCCCCATCTTATCGTATTTCAGGATTTCGGCAAAAGATTTAGTTCTATTCTGCATGTCTAGGTTAGCATCCTAAAGAAGGCAGAGTGAAACCTACTGAAATGTGAAGCCTGACTATGTCCCAGGGGCCGGACACATGGGGTCAGGCCCTGGGGGAGGAATGGAGACAGGAAGCAGGGTTCAGTGAGGGCCCAGGTGCTGCATCGGGTAGCTCTTCCAATGGGCACCTTCATCTGCAGGATGTGCCTCTCTCACATCGATGTTTCCTTCTCTCTCTCTCTCTCTCCCTCCCTCCCTCTCTCTCTCTCCCTTCTACTCCCTCTTAAAAGCAATGAAAAAAATATCCTCTGGCACTCACCCCAACCGGGCATGGATCGAGCCTGTAACCAAGGTGTGTGCCCTTTGCCGGGATCGAACCTGAGACCTTTACGGTCCCCAGGCCAACACTCTAACCACTGAGCCAAACTGGCTAGGGCTGGGCAACAATTTTAATTGCAATTCATTCTCATTACTTGCGGCAGACTCCCATCATTTTCAGAAAGGTTATTTCTGGGCCTCGACGCCCACAATGTGAGACACTATCCATCCCGTCTGGGCCTGGAACACAGAGCACTCCCTGCCTCCGTCTAGGGTGGGACAGCCTCTCCTCCCATCTGGAGGACTTTCTTCCCCTGCACTGTGTTTTTGGACCTGACGTCCCTGGGTGCTTAGCACACCCTTCCCCTCTGCCTCTCCTGAAGATGTACTGTGATGGTATTTGGCTGTGCCCTGAATCAATTCCCTTCAACAGGCAACACCTCCTCTGCTCACTACAACCCTCCCTCACAGCCCCAGCCTCATGCCTTTCTTCTCCATTTCCACCCACGGTCTTCACCTCTGCTGCACTTGAACTCCTTGGGGAAGATGGGGTCCCAGAGATGAGTGAATGGATCTGTAGGTCAGCAAGAAGGGCCTGAAAATGAGCCCCCACTGTGACTGTTCCCACAGAAGTTTCATCAGCCTGCTCTAACTTATCTCATCTCTCCTCTGTAAGTATGAGGAGTAGTCTTGACAGGGAGACTGCATTCCAGGGCTTCCTGTGGACCCCCTACAGCATCCTGGCCAGACTCACTGCCATAAAGAAGTGAGTTTTAAAACAGTGACTTGATGGTGGTCCTGGGCATGACCCCTCCTGACCAGGGCTAGGCCACTCCAACAATTACATCTCAGCCCTCTGCACCCTCACTCCCAAGGTGGCACTTGATGTTGACTGGATCTTGGACTCATCAACACTCTGGATGGTAAAGAAGCATAAATTGCAGAGTCTTGAGTCCCTCTCCAGTTATGCTTGACCTGCCCTGGGACAGAAAACTCTTGACTTGTCTGGGTAGGTCATTTAATCCCTGGACAGCTCTATGAAGAATTTTGTCCTAATTGGGTGTCCATAAAAGTCTTTGTAGTGGCCCTCATTGGCCACAATTATACCCCCATGAGAGCCCTTCCCAAACACCTTCAGCCAAGAGGCCACAAATCTATGAGAGACGAAATATGCAGAAGCTTTCAAAGCCTGAGTTTGCAGAATGGAAAATGCACTCAGTAGACAGGCGAAAACACTGTATAAAGAACATGGACTTTATTAAAGACTCATTTCTAAGAATGAGAACAATTCACCTGTGAGTAAAATGAGAGTAAGCCATTAGATTTCCAAATACCACCCTGAAACTCTGCCAGATATCTGTTAACAGAAACCTGTGATAATGTTATGCAGAATAATATAGAGCAAAACTGTGAATCTTACAGGAACCTAACAAAATGCATGTGATCATTGCTATCAATTAAAATATAATCACATATTTTCCTATAATCCTATAAGAGGAGAGAAAAGGAGCTGTAACCAGAGTTACGTAAGTGGCATTGTGCTCTGTTTGGATTCTATGCCGGTCTTTTAACTGTAATAGTGTTTTCATGTTTGAAACTATGTAAAAGGAATCAAATTGACCCTACTGTATTATTTTCCAAGTAAGACAGAAAAATTTGAATTTCAATAATATTTACAAAAAATAAATGGAACCGTACCTTCCAAAACTGTGTGTGTGTGCATATATATATATATATATATATATGTATATATATATATAAACTTTAAAGCCAAAGAGACCTAGGTCTAAGCCTTAGATCTGACACTCATCAGCTGTGTGCCTGGGGCAAGTGAGCCCTCTGAGGCCCAGCCTTCCTTCCTGTAAAATGGGCCCAATCACAACCTCAACTTCACATAAGGTGATTTCATTTTATTTCATCCACGCAACATGTAAGGCTGTTATCACAGCATCAATAGGCATCAGCTGCTATTATAATAATTAGTATTAGCCTAAAGATCTTTTTCAGGCTAAACTTGTCCAGTCCTCTCACTTTTGTCCCACATGGCACAGTTTTGAGCACTCCTTGCTCCCCACAGCCCAGCCACTCTGTTCTGAAAACATTTTCTAAAAGTGTGGTGTCCAGACAGGAGACTCTCACCTACAAGAGGGAGCTTGGCCTCCTTGTGCTCAATTTCTTCTACGTCAGGTTCATTAGGGCAACTTTTCCACTTCTGTACCCACATCACCCCACTGACTCACAGAGCTCACTTCTCACCCCAGCCCTGGCCTTTCCCACCCGCACTGCAATGTGCTCAATATGTGAGCAACCTATTCCCCTCCCAGGGTCCAGACGGTTGGTTTTCTCTCTCTTTTGGAGGGTGGCTGGGGCTGGAGAGCGCTTGTTGAATTTTATCATATTTTCTCAGCTCATCTCTCCAACCTTTCTCGCTTCTGTGGGATTCTGATTCTGGAGTTCATCATGTTTATCCCTCCAGCCTCATGCCCCCTCAGATATGGTCACCGTGCCTTACTTATTCTCAGAGAAGTGGGTCTTAGAATTCCTAAGACCTCAGCTCAACATAAAGCCCACATTCCCCAGGCATTGCCTGAGGCCCAGGAGCTGCTGACATGCAGGAAACAGTTTCTGGTCTTGGGCTGTCCGAGCTGCATGGTCCTAGATGACTCGCTTCTCCTCTCTGGGCTTCTAGAGTCTCCTCTAGAAGGAGAAGGGAAAAGTGGTCTCTGCAGTGAGGAGATGGGAAAAGTGGTCTCTAAGGAATCGTCTAGCTCTGGTCTTCCGATTCATTGATCCAAGGTCTGCAGGCCTCAAATCCCCAAAAGGAAGGCAACTCAACCGGGAATCTAAGCTCTTCCCAGAGGCAAATCACTCACACCTGTGGCACAGCCTTGGCGAGGGGCAGTGGGGTAAGGGGGACAGTGCTGACCCCCATCCCACAGTTACCAAAGGCACAAGGAGCCCTGGCACCTGCTCCCCGACCCTCCTCCAGGAAAGAGGTCCAGGGCCATGGATGAGGGGACGAAAGTCATGTTTAAAAGAGAACAGCCTTGAATCAAAGACCAGGAAGGAAGGAGCTGCACCTTGGGGTCCTTCAGGAGACAACCAGGGAAGGGATGGGGGTCTGAGCCCAGCGCTGGCGGCCTACCAGGCTGTTTATCTCTGAGTAACATCAGCGCAGGGAGTAACAGCCACCCACCTGCCCCCAGTGCCACCTCGGGGTCTCACAACAGGATGTGGCTTGGCATTTACCAGGTCCTGCCTCTGGGGTGCCTGTGAAAGTCCCTCCCCCCACCCAACTTCTGAGCACCCCGAGAACCACACGACCACATCCTGCCCGACCTCTTCCTGTGCAGCTCTCTCTACCTGGTGAGCACCCCACAGTGGGAGGAGAGGAGGGGGTCTTCAGAGAGGGATCTGAGCACCTCAGCTCCACCTGCAGACCACCCCACCCCCGATTCAACTTTTACACCTGCTGGGGGTCACGGGGGGCTGCAGTGGCACCCTGGAGATAGTGAGGAATGATAAACAGCTGCAGTAACTGCTCTGACCCAGTTAGGGTCCCTTCCGGCCCGCATCGCTCAGGCAACTCCTTCTCCCATCTGCCCCCTAAAGGCCTCCGGGCCCATCCCCCACTCGCCCTCCCGCTTCCTTCCACTCATCCAGTGAGAGCTGCTCATGAGTCACCGAGAAGGGGCCGCCAGCTCATGAACAGACTGAAAAACGACCAGGCCCTGGAGGTCTGAGCTGTCTGCGCCCTGTACCAGCTGGGTTTCTTTAAGCATCACCCCCTACTGCTAAGGCCTGATGGACGTTCTGTGCCATCTGGGTAAGAGGAGCAGAAAGACAATGCGGGAGAGAGCGGAAAACCAGAGCAGAACATCGAAACAGCCCCAAGGAGGGGCGGGGATATCCAACCCGCTCCCTCCTTTGTGCAGCTCAGGCTGTGTCTCCCACGCAACCCAAAGCTTAGAAGCCCGGTCAGAGCCATGAAGTGGCCAACTGCTGTGTCACTGGCTTCCCAGCCGTGGGCATTTCCATCTTCCCCAAGTTGTCCAGA